CCTGCCTTACTTAAAGAGGGTATGCCACTTGTAAACCATGGTTTTACTGATAAGTAATTAATAACCTTGAAGTGTATAAAAAATTATCCACTCAGATTTGATAACTATAATTACAGACGGTGGCACACATGTGGAAAGAATTGCGGCAAATAAAACAATCTGATTTCAATCAGTTATATCATACTCGTCTGGACGATTTTTTACACGTTGGAGAACTTTATTATATCAACTTTTAATTAGCAGGCTGGCGAAAGATAATAACAGTTACTATTTTAATTTTTAGGAAAAGGGATTTGTATTATGTACCGTACTACGTTTTCTCCTCATATTATTTTCGTCTGTTTAGTTTTACGTAGACGAATTTTTCAATTTTTTTAATTTAAATTTTTATTGTGGAAAGTGTGATCGGGCTTTCTGGCAGTTGTCTATGGAAATTCCTTCCCGACGTTTCGTCTGCAACTGCGGCAGCCATTCTCAAGGGGGATGAAGTGGTCGTCGCGTTCGTAAGTTGTATCTCGACGGTCGCTAGGTGGATAGTCCACCATAGAACTTACGAACGCGACCACCACTTCATCACCCTTGAGAATGCCTGCCGCAGTTGCAGGCGAAACGTCGGGAAGGAACATCGGCCGTGAAAGTCTACATGCATTTATTAAATTTTTATTGTTCACAACCACTCGATCGCGATGAGCTATCTTTTGTATTATTTACCGCTATTCGACGTATCTAGCTCGCTAGTTATCTAAAATTGTAATAATATACGTAAATAATTTGGATTAACTTTTCGTATATCGAATTCAATTTTCACCAACAAAAGATGGAAAGCCTTAGGTACTCCAATAAATTCACATTATCAATTATTTGCTAATTATTCTTATCACACGCTCTGAAGCTCGATTTGTGAGTCGAAAAATTTTATTCTTTCCGTTGACACCACTTGCAATGTAATCTGAACGGTAGTTTTTGTGAAATAAAATAAAATCTGGGATTTCTCATGATAATCAATGGTATAGGCGAAAATTATTTTTTATTAATATCTTCTTTCTGGTTCTCGGCAGCTTTTTAAAAATTTAACTGGTTCATTATCTTATTATAATGGACCAATATGCCAAATTTCATTAAATTTTGAACAATAACTATAATGCCGAGAGTAACATAATCCTTTCTTGATCGATTTTTAAGGATTTGAATAATTAATAATCTTAACAATTGCAGTTTCCTGCTTCAGAGTTTCTGTTCATAATTTTTTTAATTAACAAATTGTGCCTTATCTTAATAAGTAATTTAACGATGATAAGATAGTGCCTACCTACTTTAAATAACAACAACCGTGATTAAATCAGTTTCATAAAATTATACACACTTTCACAGTAATGGCATAACTATTGCTACTAATTTGTCTTGTGTGATTAAAAACGAAAAGTATATAAAAACGTAAGTTTATTAATTTTCATAATATTGTATTCTGTAAACTCGTAACAATGGCAAATATGTAATTACTTTCATTTTAAGAAAGTGTGTTAATAGGAAAATATTCTTGACTATTATTATTTAACAAATTATTTCGGAGAAACTAAATTATCTATTTAATTATCATAATAAAAAAATGATTTACGTTATTACTTATATCATAATATTAAACATTTTTTTTATACTATATTAAGTATACTTTATAAAGCAAGGTTTGCTTGTCAAATAAGAAGACATTATTACGAAGATGTAAAAGGGCCAAACACAATTATTTTTTTTTTTTGAAATTTCGACCAGTAAATCAAAATTTAGACTTGCAAACTTATCGAAATGCTTATTAAATCGCAACCTAACGACCTAACTCGGTCCAAACCTAAGGTAACCTTATGATTACAACCAATCGAATGAAAGCTTTAAGTTCTGTTACTTTATAAAGCAAGGTTTGCTTGTCAAATAAGAAGACATTATTACGAAGATGTAAAAGGGCCAAACACAATTATTATTTTTTTTTGAAATTTCGACCAGTAAATCAAAATTTAGACTTGCAAACTTATCGAAATGCTTATTAAATCGCAACCTAACGTAACCTAACTCGGTCCAAACCTAAGGTAACCTTATGATTACAACCAATCGAATGAAAGCTTTAAGTTCTGTTAGATTACGATCATAATTTAAATGTACGTAAAGGCAACACAAACGAAGTGAGTGTTATCATAGTCATCCGCTTTTTTTTGTTTACACGTTGAAGAAATAGGCGAGATAGGTTGGTAGGACACCTTCTCAAGCATGAACGTCTAGTCAGAGATATATAAGAGGCATAAGCAGGAGTTACGAGGGGTAGAGGTAGATCTAGATTAGATTAATGTTCGCAACTAGTTAAGGATGTGGGTTGTTCTAGTTTCAGGGAAATGCGAAGATTAGCTCAGGATAGGAAAGAGTGGAGGTACGTGTCCAACCAGTCTTAGGGCTGACGACCTTATGATGATGATGATGGCGTTGAACCAAGTCTAATCTAACCCAATTCTAATGTAATCGGCAACTGAATAGTAGAGAACAGTCGTCATAACATTGATGAGTAAAATTATGATTCGGGATGAAAGGTCGTGACCTAAATGAACGGTTTAGGTAGATGTTTCATTAGTAATTGCGGTTAACATGTTCAGTGGTACTGCAACATGAAATTTCGAGTTGCAAGTGGAAATTTCTAATTACAAGTGGAAATTTTAAAAACAGATTATGTTTGAACCTTAATTTTCCTTCCTAAATTGGCCCAAATGCAGCTTATCGTACGTAGGTTAGGACTAAACGCGACACACTAAAAAAACATTATGTAAGTTTGATATCTTGCAGTACGTTATCAAAAATTTTACTGAAACTTTTTGATAATTTGTACGACATATTTCTTCAATGCAATTACAAAGTTTTACTATTTTCATAAACTTTCAAATATTTACTCGGATTTTAACACCTGATGTCTTTCAATTTTATGCTTAATGGGCACTTATTTGTAATTATTTATCTTTAATTATCGTCAAATATTAAAGGTGTCAAATTACTTGTCTCTACATGCACACCTTCACATTGACGTTAGAAATGCATATTCCGTCGACTATAAAAAAATCAATATTGATGCATATACAGGGTGTTTCGTTAATTGTTTCAATATTTAAATTTAATTATACTAGAAAAGGATCTAAGCAGTTGGTTCTATAACTGCAAACTGTTTCGAAACTTGACCAAACTTTAAAGGAGTGACTCATAAATTTTTGATTGGATCCCTTTGCGTAAGGAATCGTAAAGGATTCTTCCCTCATATACGTAATGAGGTAATTGAAGCTATTTAACAAAATTTGTGACAAAATGTCCTATATAATCATACATCAATATCATCACGAGGTCGTCAATCCTAAAACTAGTTGGACACGCACCTCCACTTTTTTCTATTCTGAGCTAATCATCGCATTTCCCTAAAATTAGAACATAATGAAATCAGAAATCGCTATTTATGTTCGGTGGTTTCGATAAATTTGTGACCTACAACATAATTAGTTAACGTCCTTTTTTGATGCCTATTATAAGTAAGGCCTTATCTTTTCGTTTCACTAATTGGGATCGATTAAAACTTCATCATAAGGTCGTCAGTCCTAAGACTGGGTGGACACACACCTTCACTCTTTAATATCCTAAATCAATCTTCGCATTTTCCTAAAACTAGAACAACCCACATCCTTAACTATTTTTGAACAGTAATCTAATCTAGGTCTACCTCTACACCTCCTAACTTCCGTTTCTGCCTCTAAATATGTCTCTGACTAGACCTTCATGCCTGAGAAGGTGTCCCACTAACCTATCTCGCCTATTTCTTATTGACTTCCATAGAGTAATCTGTTATCTTGCTCTTTCTAATAACTCTTCATTTCTAATCTTTTAATCCACGGTATCCTCGTCATTTGCCTGTAACTACATTTCCAACGCTATCAATTTATTGTTTTCCGTCGCGCCTACCGTCCATGTTTCGCACCCGTACAGTGCCGTGTTGAAAACATACACTTTTCTTTTTCGAATTTCTAAATTAACCTTTTGCAAGTGACTTCTTTTTGTTGAACCTGCGCTATCCTTTGCCTCTGCTACTGCTTCTTCCACCTTGAGTTATCTGACTTCCTAGACACCGAAAATTTATCTTCTATCTTTGTATTCGCTCTTTTCCTAATTTTTTCCCCTTGCATTGAGGCTATCTTAATGACTCTGAGCGGTCACTCACGAGCGGAAGACACTACCCATGTCCTGCTGGAGTTAATGAGTTACCGTAGCTCAGTCAGGAAAGTAACATGATCTCATTTTTCCATTACGATGTAATTTTATTTTTGGAAAAATAGTAAAAAAAATACGCTGATTCTAAATTTCGTTATCCGTAGTCTGAGATGTTAGGGCAACATTTCTTAATTTAACAATTAGTAAAATTACTTTTTGCTAGTGTGCATCTCTCTAGTGCATTTTTCGCTATATGTATCTTATACGTTTTTTATTCCCTATACAATTGTCTAAAAAATGGCGTTGATTGGAAATCGCTCTAAGTGCTTTTGTTTATTTCCGGGCAGTCTTCTTGACATCGTTACATTTTCATCTATAAACTTACGACATTACTAAGGTAACACCTAGACAAAAATTTTTAGTCTCTCTCCAGACTCTCAGAGTCTTTCAGCGTCTCCGAGAGCGTCTCTCACAGTCTCTCAGTTATTGCCTAAGTGTTTTTATGGATCTCTTACAGTCTCTGTATGAGAGACTCGAACGATAAAATTGTTAATTCAAAGATTCGAGTCTCTCACAGAAAGACTGAATGAATAAAACTGAAAAATTGAGAGATTCGAGTCTCTCGTAGAAAGACTGGGATCTCTGAAATATGTTCAACTTAGAAAATTTTAACCATGTCTATCGAGACACCACTTATTGACAGATTCGAGTCTCTCGTTCAGAGACTCGATACGAAAAGAGGATCATTCTATGAGCGACTCGGGTCTCCGATTCAGAGACGCTAAACAGTTTTTTTGACAGTCTCTAGACAATCTCTCTCAGCGACACCAGAGAGACTCGATGAAAGACGGAGACTCGAGTCTCGCTTTCAGAGACTCTGAGAGACTGAACATTGTTATCTCGGGTTTCTAATAGCACATATTTTTCACACAATAATCCAAATTAATTTTGAAATGAAACCATATTTTTTAGGTGGTATCAATTATGGAGCTTCAAATCAAATCATTAGACAATCTACTAAAAAATGCGTTGCAACCAGGTGAACAACTGAAAAGTTACAGCACCAAAAATCTCACATCAGCTGGTGATAATTACGGCAGTATAATGCTTTCAATAACACTAAATATACACAATACATCAACCAAAGAAAACTACGAAAAGCATTTGGTCGGTAAGATGCCGTTGGTTAATGAATTTTTCCGAAATATTTTCAAAGTTGATCTGACTTTTAAAAAAGAGGCTCTTATATACAGGGACGTACTTCCATTTTTCAATAAATTCTACAAAAACCGTACATCAACCGAGTTGGATATGTTTCCAAAATATCTGGGTGGACAGTTGAACTACGACAAATCAACTGATAGGATTCATAACGACAGTATAATTTTCTTGGAAGATTTAAAAATTAAAGGATACAAGACGTTAGATAGATTTAAAGGTTTTGATGAAAACACAGCAAAAATCGTTATTCAAGCCTTGGCCACCCTGCACGCCACCACCATAGCAATTAAATTAGATGACATTTGGTTATTTCACAAACTGTTCCTCTCGAACCTCGAATACGTATCGGCATTTGACGGAGGAATAGAAATAAATAATATGATAAATATTTCCTTGAAACACGCTACAGCTAACCCTAAATGTAAAGCAGTAGAATCGAAGATAAAAGAAGTGTTAACAAAAGGGCTTCAAAATTTAAATTCGGCCATAAAGTGTAAAGAACCTTTTGGCACATTTTCACACAATGATCTGTGGTTAAATAATGTTATGGTAAAAAACGATGGTACAAACATAAAATGCAAATTACTGGACTTTCAGCTGTCTTCGTACGATTCTGTAGGCAAAGATCTTATCTTCTTCCTGTTTACCAGCTTAGAATCGACGGTCCTTAAGAACAGTTTCGATGATCTGATCCGATATTACTTTGATGAGTTTACTCAAACACTAAACATATTGAATGTGGATACGAGAAAGTTTACTTGGAACGCGTTTTTAGACGAAGTTAAGGATTCCGCAATATCTACAGAACTGACACATCTGTTTGCAATGTTATTGCCAATATTTTCCACACCTGATAAAAGTGAATCAATTGACGTCCTCGAAGAAGGAACATTGCCGAATGAAGATGATGTTTCTGATGAACACAAGCAAAGGGCTGTTGATATTGCGTTGATCTATATCGAAAAGGGATGGATTTGAGTTATGAATAGTGAAATTATTTTGTAAAACACGTATATAACCTATTTAAAATATATAATTTTATCATTTGGTTTTCTTAACCTTTGATTTATTCCAAATAAAAAAGATAATAACTGCCAACGATTTGTGCCCTACTTACATTACATTTATACACTTTCTGAATGTTTTTGAAATAAGAAGTAAGCTTTGGAAGGCGTTAACCAGAAAAATAGGGAATCGCATGGTGAGTAAAGTAGTGTGGTTACGAGACAAAGAAAGTTGTAAGTAGCAGCTGATTGAATACGGTGTTGCAATGTCGTATTTCCCTGTGTGATCCTAACAGGGCCGATCTAGGTCCTGTCTGTACTCTTTCTCAAAAACGGTGGACTTTTCGACCACCAAACATTTACTTAATTTTCTTGTTTTATATTAAGTACCTACGCTATCCCTTCTTGCATACTTGCTAATAATTTCAGAAACACCCTGTGCAACAAAAAAATGCAAATCCGAAGCCGGCCCTGGGCGTGAATTGACAGCGTATAGAGAAATTACAGCTACATGGACGGAAAATGTAATCACTGCCGGTTATGTTGTGTAAAGCAGATATCAACAATTTACTATTACGTTACTATAAATAATAATCTCTAAACGCCCATTGTGATAACAGTTAGTCAAATAAGTACCTTGTTCATAGCTCATAGTATGCCTTATTTTACAATGACCTATGATACTGACACATTAACCTACTTCTAATGACTTCGACTGTCTACATACATACGTAATACGAGCCTATAACCTTAAAAGTACAAAGAACGAATTTAGACTGTGTGTAAATATAAACATCGTCAATCAAACTTATTGTAATTTAACAAGTAACAAACAATACAAAAGCACAAATTTGCAAAACAAATACAGCACGGATGCTTCTAAGTAGCAGCTGATTGAATACGGCGTTGCTTGATCCTACCAGGGCCGGACTAGCCCTTGTTTGTACTTTTTCTTAAAAAGATGGACTTTTGGACTACCAAACATTTACTTAATTTTTTTTTAGTAATGACTACACTTGAATTTTTCATTATAAAGGAATATTTCATTTACGGTAGGAGTGGAAACATTTTTGACCTGGATTGATGATCTCACTAAATAATAGTAAGAGGCACCTCGCAAATTTTCAAAAACATATAATACTTTTCTTTTTGTTCTAATGTAATATATAATAATCGCTTGCATGCTATTATGGTTAGAAATTCAAATTTTCGGAAAAAATATATTTAAAGTTAACCGCAACCTTTTTCCAAAATAATACAAAATAAACAGAATCGTGGATTGTAAAGATAATTTACTTGTTTATTCTATACTATTTCTGTACGTTACAATAAGGTAGCTACATGGGGCGATGGGTACCATATGATATGGAAGAACAGGCAATAAATGTTAGGAGTATGATAATATCAATTTTTCGAAATTTTTAACTAAGAGGATTATATCCCTATATTTTCAACCAAGAGAAATCCTAATTTGACCTGTAGTAGACTTGCCCTGCTTTACGTCACCAAGCTGCTACTTTTGAGAAATAAATAAATCAGTTTTTAAGCATATTACATCAAGTAAGGAATTGGAGAAAACTTTCTCCATCATCATGCCCTTAACTACTTTCTTTCTTACCCATCTCTGTTTTCCGCACCCCCTTTGATTCCACAATATATATATATATATATACAGTTGTATATTATAAACTTAATTGCTAGAAAATAAACAAAAACCGATTGCAAGACTGTACCTACATGTATAAACTTAAACTATTAAAAAGTAGAAAATAATATTTTAGTTACTTCAAAGCAAAGAGTATAAGAACAATCTATAAAATCATTTATACTTATGTATCCATACATTTACAATTTATAGTCGACTATTTTTAGAGTGGAAGCCAGTCAAGAGGGCCAGTTTAATCTTGTCTTCGTAACAAAATTTTCGTCCGATTTTATTTATCTAATCTCTACTTTCGCATTCGTATATTAATTGATTAATCAAGTAGGTACCTATTAACGTTCTTTTTACTTTGGCTGGTACCGACTCCAAAAATAATTGATTATAAAGTATATCTACATGTACATATGTATCACTGATTTTGTCAATTGTTCTGAAATGCACTTTGATTTGAAGTAATTGAAATATTATTTTCTACTTTTTTTTTTATAAAAATTAACTTTATTTTCCAATTTCTATTGTGTACATATTTTTTATTTTTGCTGATTTTTTCAAAAAGCACTGAATCAATTTCGATAGAATTATATAGGACCACAACCTCTGAAGTAAGACCTACCAAAGAAAAACAGTATCATCAAAATCAATTTATAATCGAGTACCTACATATATATGTTATAATCGAGTAAAAAAAACGTACAGTTTATTTGAGAACCTCCTCCTCCTTTCCTGAAATTGGTTAAAAATAGCTCACTTTTGTGAAATCAACTCAAAAATTGATTTTGTTTGAGGGGAAGTTTCTCACTAAAACCAAGCCGCCTTTCTAAATACTAAAACCGCCGAATGGCAAACTCAAATTGTTAAAATATTTATTTATTACTGTACATAAGTATGTAGGTATATTTGTATATATATTATAAGTAGTACAAATTCCTTGAAATTGCCATTAAGTACCGTTTTATACTTTCAGTTATACAAAACTTTTTCGAAATTAAAAGATTATTGAGCAACTATTGTTTTCTTCGAAACTTCTTTATTGTTACGTTCTACCTAAAGAGTTAAAAATTTGCAGTTATATTATACTGTACAATTTCGTATTTTGGTAAGTTGTGTGAAAGGAAACATCTGCCGAACGCTTTCATCAAAATTTTAACAGTAGGCGGGTGTTTAGGAAAATTAGAGAAAAGATCAAGAAGAGGAACAAGAAGAAAAAGAAGAACAAGGTTGTGCACCAAGCCGTAAATCACATCTTTCAAGTGAGCCTATTATCGTTACCTATTTATTACAAAGGGAGATTGTGACAACCCATAATTTTCGTTTCACGGCAGAAAATTATGTCATTTAGTTAACATTTCAAAAACGTGATTATTATATAAGTAATAAAATATAAGGAAGCTTGCATTGGTAAATGAATAGGTATATTGAAAAACTAAATATATACTTATCAAAGAATGAACGACAAGAATAGGTATATTAGATGTATAAAATTGTAAATATTTTAATATCGAACTAAAAAAGCTACAGTATTGTCAGCATTTCGAAACCACAGTTCATGTTAATCTACATTTCTGAAGGCAAAGAACTGTCAAAAGAATTAACAACAAATTCTTTCATTCTTGCGCTATACTAATATAATAGATAAGAAATCGAATCGACCGTAATTCGCTTAGAATACCTTTCAAATGCAACATATATTAATACCGGCAGTTTGTATTAATATTTGAGGTTACAGCGGGCAGACAACAATATGATAAACGTCTCGATTAATATACGTATCTTTGATTTCATTGAAATTTTGGTACCTATATTGTGCTGAACCCAGAATATATGTACTGGAATGCAAGGGAAGAAAAAATAGAGCAACAGGGAGACAAAAAATTACAAGAAGTTACTGAATTTAGGTATTTAGGAAGTCAGATAAGTCAGGACGGAAGGAGTAGTAGGCATATAAAGCAGAGGATAGCGCAGGGTCAAGTCGCCTTCAATAAAAAGAAGTCACTTCTATGCTTACAAACGATTAATTTAGAAATTCGAAAAAGATTGTTTAAGGTGTATGTTTGGAGCGCGGCGCTGTACGGGTGCGAAACATGGACGGTTGGCGCTGCGGAAAAGAAAAGGTTAGAAGCGTTCGAAATGTACTGTTACAGGCGAATGATGAGGATACCGTGGATAGAGAAGGTTAGAAATGAAGAGATATTAGAAAGAATAGGAGAACAGAGGACTCTATGGAACTCAATAAGAAATAAGCGAGAAAGGTTAGTAGAACACCTTCTCAGGTATAAAGGGCTAGTTAGAGACATATTAGAGGTAGAAACAGGAGTTAAGAAGAGTAGAAGTAGGCTTAGGTGAGATTACTGTTCACAAATAGTTAGGGATGTTCTAATTTTAGGGAAATGCGAAGATTAGCTCAGGATAGGAATGAGTGAAGGTGCGTGTCCAACCAGTCTTAGGACTGACGACCTTATAATGATGTACATACATACATACATACATACATACATAAGAAGAAATTATTGAATTTAAATTTCTATATATATGGTGCGCATTCAAGTTTCGAATAATTGAGACTCAGTACCAGCTTGCACATTGCTGTAAACAACAGTAAGTACACGGCTACGACATTTCGTTTGTATTGTCTTTACCTGCCATAACCTTATGATCTAAGCGCGGATTTTAGATTACAGGATGACACAATCCTAGTCTAAATTTCCTGTCGATTTGCCTTGACATTTGGTAAAGTCTGTAAGTAGGTAATATTTTAGAAATGAGGAAATGTTTCGTTGAGTGCTTCCAATTCATCGTTCAAAGTCGAACAAGTTTCACTTATTATCAACATATGTTGGTAATGTTACAAAAGAGTCGCTAACTGACGATGAACGAGTTGCCTCGTGAAGACAAATTACGAGCAACAAGTGGCGCGTGATGATTTGGATGTCAGCCAGTGTTTGCAAAAGCGTTAATAAATGCGACTAATAAATTCCCAGTTTGGGGGACTAAACGGGAACGAACGACCCTGCCAAGAATGTTCGAAATGTTCGAGTTTTTTGACAATGAAAAATGAACGAGGTGAAACTTACATACGTCTCTCCTTTTTTTTTTTATTGCTGATGCAGAGGAAGAAAATTTATTTGTTAAACAACTGCCGAAACGTTTCACTTTAACTGTAGAATTCTACTGTTATTGCAGCATCGGCTTTCACAGACAAAGTTTATAACATCCGGGCTCAATTAGCAAAAATGTACATTTAGGATTCAGTACAGAGTAAGTGAACTATTGGAATAAAAAAGAAAAGTCAATAATTGACAATTTCCATGCGAAAAGCAAACCAATGGATTTAAATGGTAATGAACTAAAAAATAAATCATAAATGAAAGTAAATAAAAATTG